CTACTCCTGCTACTGCTACTGCTACCGCTACTGCTCCTGCTACCGCTACTGCTCCTGCTACCGCTACTGCTACTGCTACTACTAGTACTACTACCACTGCTGCTGCTGCTGGCGGATCTTGCTAGAATTGCTACTGCTGCTTGTCGCTATTGATATTCGAGCAGCAATTTTTGTCACTGTTCGCAAAATTACCTCATATGCACTACTGTTGCCAATGCCATGTCCTGTGGCATCGCCATCACTAGTGACGATTAGCACTGTTGTCACAACTTCAACATCTTTCCAATTGCCAGTGCTGCTCCTCCATTTTTTTCAGGGGGTGGCGCGTGCTTTGAAGCACATCTGCCGCCGAGCGGAGAGGCCGGCAAGTGACTTTCAGAAGTCGCAGTGAAGCGGGGCGGGGCCCCGGGGCAGGAGCTGCGTCCTCAAAGCACTGCGGCAGCCTGCTGCCCCGGCTTCAGAGATTGCGGGCATCCTCTCAGATGAGGACTCCAAGAACGAAGAACACGTCGAAGAAGTTCTGCGGTATGCCGGGCCTCGCCCTCCAGAGCGGCGTGATCGTGAGGAGCTGGCCTTGGAAGCCCGCTGTTCGAAGCTGGAGTCGGAGCTTTCAGCCTCGAGTGTCTTGGCCTCGGCATCCGGCATCCAGGTCTGCTCTCGTCGCAACGGCGCATTGCACATCCTGAGACCTAGGAACGTCTCAGCTTTCTGGATACCGTCGAAGCAAAGGTTGACATGCTGGTATCCGAATGGCAACCTCGGTCTCAGGAGGATCGCTACAGTTTTTTTATCCAGGCAATGTGATAGCCAGCACCTTCCGACACAACACTGTCAACCACTTTGGTTCTTCATGTCAAGCGCCTTGTTCTGCGGCGTTGAAAGAGAGTAGTGACTCACGGCTGCTCTTTTACATCATGCTGTGCTCCACAGGAACTGCTGCACAACCTCTCCGAGGAGGCCAGAACCGGATGCGGTTGTGAACCGGGGCAACATCAAGCAGAACTCCAGCCATATAAGCCATGTAGACTTCGTCCCTTTCAGGGGATTCTTGAAATCTCCTTTTTTTGCATCCACATAGCATCCATCGTTTTCGGCTGAAATGTCCTGTGGCCCTCTTGCTCGACGAGAAGATCTTTGCTTTCCAATCACGGCATTCAAGGGAGCCAGGGGAACCCATCACGACTGCCTGAGTTTACAGGTGGCAAACATCTCCGTGGTCCAAGATGATGGAACTGAGCTGGATGAAGGCTCAGCCGACATATCACGGTCACAGCTGTTGGCAGCTCCCTGCAGGCTTTGAGCAGTCCCTGCAGCGCCTTGGCTTGGTGAGCAGTTGGCTGAATCGGACCCTCTGCCAGCTGGAGGCACCTCTGCAACCATTCGGGAAAGAGAAAGCTACCTGCACCCGCCCGCAGGAAGCTCGCCGAGAGCTCGCCGAGAAAGAGAAGGCTGCGGCCTCATGTGCATTCTTGCATCTGCCGGGCGAAGCTCCAAATGCGCAGAGTGCTCTGGCACGTTTGCCTTGATCCCGTAGGCCCGTAGGCTGGCTCATGCCATGTATCCTTAAGTGTTTATGGACAGCTCGTTCAAGCGTGCAAAGTCCCTGTGCACCAATTCGGCTGTGAGGATCAACGGCCCCAGTTGTGCGTTGCCAGCAACCTGCATTGCTTCAGATGACTCATAGGAAGTTGAAAGCAGGACATAAACGAACCCATCGCATAACATGACTTGCTATCGATTTGGCCATCGTCCTCTAATTCGTGCTGCCATCCTGGCAGCTTGGGGCGAGACTTGCTGACACCTGAAAACATCGCAGGCTGTCGGCGAGGATGTCATACTTGAAGTTCAGTACTCGCGGTGCGTGTGGTGTGTTTATTGGTAGGACTGGTAGGATCGGCAGGACGACGTGTTCTTGATGCTCTTTGGCTCTCGCTACGCAAGCCATGGCGTAAACAGCCTAGGCACTCCAACTAGCCCTGGAACACAACATACCACCAGTCGATCGATCGATCGCCTGCCAGAACACACTCTTCATGGTTCCGAGACCCCGTGAAACGCAACATCGATATTCAACAGCAACGACACCCCAAGCCTTTGCTGGGATGTCCTTGCCACCCAGCCCGCCGGCAGCTAAGCGGTTGGATGCAGGGGAGGACCCTTTCCGTGGCAGTAGCATGATCTTAGCTCAGTGCTGATGGCCTTTATGCATTTGTGAGGCCTAGCCATGTGAAATCCCCACGATTTGCTCCTCCACATCCTCTGAGCACTATCCTGTCATTCCCACTGGTGGCTCCGTTTACAGGATTTGCAAACCTGTCATGTGTTGAAGGTCCATTTCCGGGTCATCCTCCCTTGATGCGGCAGCCTTCGCGCACGACTCTGATGCTTGGCACCACTTGTTCATGCTTGGCCCGCGAAGCTTGTACTTGGAAAGTGTCCTCTGCATGGTGATCTTTCTGTTGCAATAGCCGGTGTCTGTGCAGTGGTTTCTCCGTTTTGACTTGCGGTTGGGAGTTTGCAGGAGAATGCAGTCGTTTTGAAGCTAGCTTTGCGGCCAGCGTGTGGTGCAAAGTTACAGAGAATACTGCTGAGGCCACAGTACTGCTATGAATGCAGTACCACCGCTCCTGCTGCTCCTCCTCCTCCGCTCCTCCTCCTCCGCCTCCTTATCGTCCTACTTCGACTACCACTGCTACTACTATACAACACCAGGAACAACAACAACAGCTGCTGCTGCTGCTTCTACTACGACGACGACGACTACTACTACCACCACCACGACAACAAATGTAACATAATAATACTACTCCTGCTGCTGCTACTAGCACTGCTACTGCTACTGCTACTGCTACCGCTGCTGTTGCTGCTACTGCTACTGTTCTGCTGCTACTACTACTGCTGCTGCTACTACTACTACTACTACTACTACTGCCACTGCTACTGCTACTGCTAGTGCCACTGCTACTGCTACTGCTACTGCTACTGCTACTAGTTCTTCTACTACTCTTGCTTTTACTTTTACGTTATCTTTTACTTTTACTACTGCTTTTGTATTCACAGCAGAAGGAACCCCATCATCGTGCCGACATTCCCAGCAGTAAGACATACCGAAGACCACAACAGTCAATTCTGTACCGGCATCAGACGAGAAAACGCAGTCCCCTCGGCAACAAGGTGGCAGGCAGACCGTTCCGCCCCGAAAGTTCGAGGGAACCCTTTGTCACTACTTGCATAGAAAGAAAATTGTAATGCTGGCAATTCTACATCTGAGAACAGCATGAGAGCACACTTCTAAATTAAATGTCAGTTTGTGAAGCCTCTGTATGAATGATGGTTACGACTAGTGTACTAATCAAGGCGAAGGAGCGTTCTTCGCAGTTTGCGTTCTTCGCAGTTTCTGCCAGGCTTGTGATATGTTTGCCTGCCCCGAGGCTGTGGCAGAGATTCCTTCCCACCTCGAGGACTCGGCAAATGCTTCCGACTCCTCCGAGGCTCTGGGGGTGCATTTTTTTCTTCTTGTTTTGGTTGTTGGGGTTGGGGCTTCGGGGCTTAGGGGATTTGGGATCTAGGCGCTTTGTGAACTCAGCGCAATGTTGAAAGCACAACCTGAGCCCAGGGACAATCATAGTTGATGCTACAGTGAGAACTGCAACCCAGGGATTTGCGATCATTGAAACTGGGGGTGTGTGGCGGAATTCAACGTAGCAACACAAATAATCGGAGTCATGTCAAAACTATTTTAGCTGCTGTAGCAGCAAGTAGGCGTTGCAGTAACTCGTCGTCGATGTCGTTGTCGTCGTCATGAGAATAATGAGCTAATGCTGAGAACGCTGGCAACGACAGTATCAACCAGAGTCACAATAGCAAAACTAATCCCGGCACTGGTATCAAATGTTGGAAACATTTCACTCTGGAGGCATTACACCTGGGCAGATCTGAGGATGAAGCTGAAGGCTTACAGAGCTCACTGGCGACGGATTCTGTGCCATCCTGAACACCGATGCTGCCGAACATGGCCGCGTCTTGTCGCTACTTGAAACATCGAACATGCTGAGACCTTCGACACATCAGCTGCCTTTTCCATCTCAAGCTGTAACCACGCTGCTGAGCAGCGCCACAAGTCCGTGCCATGCAGAGGCTGATCGTGGTTGCCGCTTTCGGCATTTGCTTGGCAGAGGATCCGAAGGTGTCAGAGATGCTCGCGCCAAAGCCGCTGCAAGTGCCAGAAGCTGCCTCCAATGCTAGCATAGCAGCACGCAACAGCAGCAAGCCTGTGACCGAGAAAGTAGCCACAGAAGGAATCGAGACAAAGACAAATCTCAGGGGTGGTTGGGACTGGAATGGAGGCGGGAACACTGGTGGTAATACCGGTGGATGGACTGGAGGTGGCAACAACGGAGGTGGCAACAACGGAGGTGGCAACAATGGTGGATGGCAAGGAGGTGGTAACAACGGTGGTTGGAATGGAGGCGGCCATAACGGAGGTGGCAGCAATGGTGGATGGAATGGAGGTGGCAACAACGGTGGTTGGAATGGAGGCGGCCACAACGGCGGCGGCAACAATGGCGGCTGGCAAGGAGGTGGCAACAACGGTGGTTGGAATGGAGGCGGCCACAACGGAGGTGGCAGCAATGGTGGATGGAATGGAGGTGGCAACAACGGTGGTTGGAATGGAGGTGGCCACAACGGCGGTGGCAACAACGGCGGCTGGCAAGGAGGTGGCAACAACGGTGGTTGGAATGGTGGCGGCCACAACGGCGGTGGCAACAGCGGTGGATGGAACGGAGGTGGCAACAACGGTGGCTGGAATGGTGGCGGTCAGAGCAACGGCGGCGGCTGGGGTGGCGGCAACCAAAACCCTCCTTCCAGCCAATGGGGACCTAGCAACAATTTTGGCTGGGGACATGGAGTTCAGGGCGAGACGTGTTGCATGTGCTCACGGTCAAGCAGTGGCAAGACCCAGCTGTATGCGGCTGGAGATTACAGCCGCAATTATGGCTCGCAGACAGCCCATGAGCATTGCGACGAGGTTTGTGAGATCCAGTGTCATTTCAAAGGGGGGCACAAATTTGGCTGCTACGAAGAGAATGACCTTATCAGCATGAGCCGCCGCTATCAGGGCCAGAGCAGCTATGAAATTCTTCATGATGACCACTTTGGTAGCATTTGCTGAGCCACAAGAGCTGTCTCAGTACCGATAATCGACCATTAGGCCATCTGGCCACTTTTACAAGACTGTACAGCATGTCGGCTTTGACACTAATTCAGTGCTGTATCGCAGGGCAACGACAGGCGATTTCATTGCAGCTGTTCCTTTTGAGCCTGCGAGTGTAGTACGACAAGCTGTCGCAAGAGCGTGGCTGAGAAAAGACCTTACAGCCATGGGCCATGCGCCTCAGCCACGGGGTCCCTGTGCCCAATGCAGGCCACCAGACTTTCTGGGACAAGCTTTGTGCCTTGCAGCACGAGCTGTCGGAGGTTGAAAGGACGGGTGCCTAGCATTGTTCCCGTCCGCCATTTGCAAGGTTTGCTGGTGTTCATTTCTCCGTGTACCTGCCTAGCCGGCCTAGCCGTCTCGCTAGTTGGCACATAGGCCGGCATGTCAGGAAAATCAACCGACACACCTCGCTGCAGAGGGCGCGAGTCCGTTGCGACATCGCATCCAGCAGCGAATTCAGAGTGCACTTGACGGCCTACTTGGTTTGCAGGCTCGCCGAGCCGGGTGTACCCGAAATCGCCACGGTTCCGGAGCTGTACGATTGTCTTGCAAGGCCATTGATCCACGTCGAGCTTGATTTTCTCATGCAAGGTTGGGTGATTCTGCATCAGGGCCGGCCGACCTCTGTGCCATGCTCAGCTGGCTCAGATCAGTCTCCATCTTGGCTTTATTTCCTCACTCTCAAGCACCCCCTCTTCGCTTTTCCATGTCTTCCCGATTCTGCCTTCCTCTTGCTCTGGCTCTCTTCTCGCTCTCTGTCTCCCTGTCCCTCCCTCTTTCTTTTTCTACGACTAGCCCTATGTGTGTGCCGTATGCCTGTGCCAGTTCCTTCTGCATCCTGTTCTGGTCACAGAGATCCCAAGCCTGAGGTCGCCAAGCGCTTTCGACGGATGCTGCCCCCGGAGCTTGCATCGGTGCCCGGGCAGAACATTCTGAAGTAGTGGTAGCAGCAGCGGCAGCAGCCGCAGGGTACTGAAAGAGCAGGATTAGGCGGGGGAGGAGGAAGAGGAGGAGGCAGTGCTCCTCCTCAAGGCAACACCAGGTTCTCCTCCGACAGTTGCAAGCGGCTTCGAGCCGTGGTGCAAAGGTGCGTGCCAAATCGAGGCACCTTCAACAAGTATTAACAACGGTAGCAATCTCGAGAGAAGTTATCGCAGAAATGACAGGAACAAGTACGGAGAGACATCACTGAAAGAACGTAGCCATAAACCGAATTCTAATCAGACTGCTCATCGTAATGACATGCACCATTTTATCATCGTTTCGTGTGTTGGATCAAACACCAGTACTCATTTCGATGCTGGTATCAACAATCGTAGCAATAAGCAGGTTTTCGTTGGTTCCGATTCCGAACTTGACGCGTGGAACTTCGACCGTCGCCAGGCCGGAAACTCACCAGCCCGGGCCGCAAGGGAGGGAAGTTCGAGTTGGAGGGTTGGTGTGATGTCCCGGTGTTGTGGAAGTTTCCAACCTCCCAGGCACGTTCTTTCTCTTTCTTCAATGCTTGAGGGGCTTGGGATTCTTGCTTGTTCGGTCGTGGGCACCGTTGCGTAGCGTGCTCTGTTCAGAGCAGGCCGCATAGATGTGTCAGAGCCAGTGGACTGGCAAACGTTGCAAGCATTGCTTGCACATCGCCCCTCAAACGACTTGACTACATTGTATTCCTAGAAGCCGGCGAGCGCAGCCCGAACAACGAAAGCTTAGCCTCTCCAGTGCTCAGGTGCGACCTTCAGCCGTCTCAGGCACAGCCACAACCGCTGCAGCCTTTTCCAAGTCGGATGTCCTTGGGGGTCCTGGGAGGCTTAAGTGGGTATCCTCGAAGTAGTAGTTTCGCCACCGTGGAATGGGATGTTGAGTGTGCATGTTTTTGCTGTTTCTCACTCCCCTGGCCTCCTCCCCCTGCTGCTCCCCATCTCCATCTCCATCATTTTAGCCTCTTTCAGCCAGGCTTCGATGAGCGCGACGCGCAGATCTGCCTTCCATCGGAGGTTTCACCGAAGCGGCGGCCCGCTGGGCCCGCTCGGCCCGCTGGGCCCGCTCGAGCAAAGCCTCGGGCCAGGGAGCCGCTGCCGGCGGCCGTGGCCCCGACCTTTTGCCTGGACAGCGAGGTTTTCAGGGACGGCTGTTTTCTGGGGGAGACCTTCAGGGCTTCCCCTCCAAGGCGGAAGCTGCCCTCAAGAGGCCGTTTGAGAGCCTCCATGGAGCCCAGGACCACGAGCTCCGATGTCTTCGTTTCGGACGTCGGGCGACTGGACCCTATCTCTGTAGCGAGCATGCAGCCATCGGATCTGCCCACGCTGTCTTTAGACCGCGGTGACCGTGGCAAGTCCTTCAAAGACGAGGACGCTGCGGACGATTTGCGGGGCATCGTCAGTCTGGATGTCAACGTAGACACTCCTGCCTCTGTCACCTTGGAAATTCCATCGAAAGCAGAGAGTTCGCCCATCGACAAAGAGGAGGACATGTTGCGAGAGCTGCAGCAGCTAGCAGCTTCCGTGCAGCCGGCGACCGAATCAAGCTCGGATTCCGATATCGAAGGCACTGGCACTCCAGATGCGAGGCTCGTCATAACCCAAGATCCACGCGGGCATGGCAGCTCAGCGCAGGCTCCGGCTCCTGCGAAGCCAACCGTGCCGACGGACATGCAGGATCTGCCGCAAGCGTCGTCCGGGAGGCGGGAGAGCGAAGATGTGCTCGACATCCTCGAGCAGCTGTCTGAGGACTCCTTGGAAGTCGAAGAGGATGAGGATGCTGAGGACGAAGAGGAGGAGGAGGAGGGTGAAGACGGGGAAGAGGGCGAAGAGGAAGAGGAGGAATCTGAGGCTGCATCTGTGACGAGATAGTTGGAACGAAAAACGTGCGTGCACATGCCGGATGCAGCTCTGCGGTATGGCTTTGTGAGGTCTTGACACATGCACGCTTACAGGGCAGCTTTGTGGCATGTTGCACGTATCATGGATCGCTCGCATGGGCTGCGGATGCAGAGAATTCAATGTGCAGCGTAAGTACGGAACGACAGAGCCACAGGCAGCATGCATGAGCTCCCAGCACACAGCAACCCTCAGAAACTAATCTAAAGCACATGTCTTGTGTGACTTCGTTTGAATGGAGCCTGCGTGCTCATTGGCATCATGGCTCTTCGGCAGGAGGAAGGCCCGGCAAATGGCCTTTGAACTCTCGGATGCGACTCAATTCGAAGGCATCCGACGCACGCAGGCATGTTCAGTACGTCCCGTGTAGCAAGCTCTATATGCCCCACTCATCCCCACTCGTCCTCGGAGTTTCTTTTTCCATGCCAGAGGCTGGCATACCGTCCATGGGCGGACCTTCGGCGAGCAGCGCTGGAGCGAGTTGGCCGCGGCGTTGGAGCGCGCCCGGGGCCTTAGGGTCCTAGGGCCCTCCCAAAAGGGCGTTTCCCCGAATCGCCAGCATCTGCAAGGAACGGCAAAAGGAGTAGGATTGCCCCCCAGCGCGCACGTCGTGCAGAAACCTTGAATCGCAGTGTCCTCGCAGTGCTATGAAAGGCCAGCGTTAGTTGTTAACAGCCTTCTGTGCCAATCGAAAACCCAAGCACCCAAGTTGTGCCGGTAAACAGCGGACGTACCCACCTCAACAGATCATAGGACTGGTGATGGAAAGTGCACCACAGAACATGGACTTCTGCTCCCTGCTCTCACAGGATCATGAACACCTGTGCTTCGTGAATCCTTTCCTTCCCGATGCAGAGCTGGCTGTTCTGGAGCAGGACTACAGCCAGGATCCCAAGACCCGCTGGGATCCGCTGGGCTTCAGAGCAGGAAGCCTGGAAGTTTTCCGAGGTCTGCAGCCCACCTGTGTGCCGGGTGCCTTCGACTTTGCACTCCCGGAGGATCCCCGCCGGCGGCTCCAAGCTCAGCTTTCACAGCTCTGTCGTGCCTCGTGGCACTGCCAGAAGCGGGTGAGGTTTCCTGTTGTGGACGCTAGCGATGAGCGGCACATCTATGTTGAGCCGATTCGTGCAGAGCTCAATGCGTAGAATCTTCAGTTCTGCCCTGCGGCACCATCCATGCGCCCAGCCCCAAAAGCGGGCGGCCATCATCATTATCATCACAATCATCCTCGTCGTCATCATCATGATCGACACATCGTCATGGTCGTCGTCATCGTCACCGCCCTTACCTTACCAGCACCACCACCAGCACCCGCACTCAGCACCCAAGCACCCCCAGCACCCCAAGCACCCCAAGCACGCCAAGCACCCGCAGCACCGCGACACCCCACCATCCACCACGAGTACCACCACGATCGCCATGTTCATCGCCACGAGTCACCATCACCTAATCATCACATGGTACGGCAACAGTGATGAGTTGCACCAAGAGCTGCTGATGCGGCTGCCGTGGCGGCTTCTACAAAAGCCAGCATGAGCAACACTATTCTGGATCGTGCAAAATAAACTTCATACCAATCCATAGGGAGCAGAGATTCTAAGCAGAATGTGCCTGGTTCTGCATAACGTGTTTGAGCTGCTGTCGCAACTGCAAAGTTTGCCGGCAAGGCCCTGATCGGCATGAAGTGCGGTCCTTGGCCCTGGCAGAGTCGGCCACGAGTCCTTGAGGTCTTGTTCACGGAGCTCTGGTGGTTTGGTCTTGTTCAGTTTGAAGCAGTGTCAAGAGCACAGGGCTGTGGCATGCCAGCGACCTCAGGGATGCATGAGCTGTGCGAATGCCTGATCTTTTCTCTGCTATCTACTACTACAGTACCACTGCCATCATCATTATCATCAGCAGCAGACCCGTCCTCGTCCGCCTCGTCGTCGTTGTCGTCACCATCATCACCAACCTCAGCCATCGCTGTTTTGCTTGGTTCTTGGCTTCTTGCGCTGGTTCACTCAGGTGGAGGTGCTGGGAGCCTCGCCAGGTGAAGAGCTGGCACCCTTCCTCCTGGCTGAGGCAGACTGCAAAGCAGTTTCGAGTCGTGGGAAATGGCGGTTTCTACTTCTGAGAACTGCTTGTAAGCTTGCCTGAATTGTTAGCATGATGAGGCTCTCGAACGAAGGGAGATGCAACGGGCGAGATTGTGTTGTGATGGTGGTGGTTGTGTAAGTCTCATCGCGGACGTGGGTAGTCGTCACCGTCGTCGTCGTCGCAGTAGCAGTCGCGTTAGCAGTAGCTGTAGCAGTAGGAGTCGCAGTGGCAGGCTGTGGCAGTATGAGTAGAGTAGGAGTAGGAGGAGGAGTAGGAGGAGGAGCAGGAGTAG